TTGACTGCTGAGATTGGAACGCAGTTGATGCGCTTGCAGCGAATATGATGGGGACGGACGGAGCGCTGTCCGAGACGTTGTTCAGGCCGTGACGGCCTTGTCGATGCTGTTACCGGGAAACGGTAGCCTCATGGGTATGTGTTGTGTTTACGCACAAGAAGATTCTAGTCAAATGTTGATCCAGTTGTGTGTTGAACAGCAGGAGACGGTGCGATGACGCAGCAAGCAACCGACATGTCTGCGATTTCTCCAGACCAAAACGCCACGGCTGCTGCGGTCGCTGCTGCTGCCGCCGCCCTGGTTGCTGGATTCAACGAAACGGCCATGCAGCAGAGTACGGACGCCATGATGACGCAGGACAATGAAGCGCAGATGATGGATATTGGGAAAGGTAGCGTATTTGGCGTACGATCCTTCTTGGTAGCATACGTTCCAACCGACTTTATACAACAGGAGACGATAGTCTAATGGGATCACCGCCACAGAGCATGCAACAAGTAGTGACGGCTTAGACAATTAGACAACAGCAGGGTGTGGACGATGATACAAAAGACTGACGAATGTCGTTGAGATTGCATAGTACAGTGACAGTGTCAGTGCAAAAGACACCACAAGGGGACTCTCCAAAATCATGCGAGTGCAGTATATATATATATATATATATATATTCGAAGAATGAAAAGCTATTTTTATGTCTGTACAAGAGAGATGTGTGTAGAATCGCTCAAGGACCCAATCCAAACTTGAGCACTCCACCGGCCGTTAAAGCGTCCGCTACTGCCTGTTTGTCTTTTTCATCTTGTGTTGCAGAGGGTTTGTTGTCGTGACTGGCATTATGAGGTTGCGTGTGGGAGGGTTTGGAAGTTGTTGACGTGCTGGCTTGTTGACCAGTTTGTTGCTTGTTTTGAGCTGCATGCAGTGATTGTTTGGTATTCGAATCTTTTACTGCCATTGAAAGCCAAGTCTTACCTGATGTATTCGCCTTGTCCATTGTTTTTGTTTTTACAAGTGTTAAAACCAGTGGATTTCTCCCTTTATATCAACTGATACCCGCTTACATAATGCGTGACATCATGTCAGGAGGTGTGACCCGTTGGGAGACCACGGACACAGAGGGAGTGTGATGTGGAAGTCCTTTTGCTTTTTTATTTATTGGATTTTGGTGAGTGACATTTTATGGGGTTTTGTGAGGATTGTTGGATCAGTGTCAAGATGTGATTGTTAAGGATTTTTCTTTTTTTGGGGGGTGTGTGAGGTTTGCTTTGTTGGATGATCATCAAAAAGGAGTTGAGTGGTTGGGTTGGTTGGTGGTTAGCAAGAGTGATTGACAGCAGCAACATCAGCAGCAATAGGAAAACAAAGCGAGTCACGCCTATTATTTCAACAGATGCCGACTGCGCAGGGGGAATCGATGTCGGTCAGCAAAAATGTGAGCTCAGCCCTCCAAATCCCCGGTGCTGCAAAAGGGGAAAATAGGGGGATAAATAGGTCGCTTTTGGGACAATGATCGTGGTCTCTTCTTTACTTTAAACTGTCCTTTTCTTGTGCGCGGCCACTAGATGTACAGCTCAATTGTTTACCAACACACTTGTGTTGTCAGCAAGATAGGCCGTCTTTACAGGTTTGTTGTAAATTGCCATGTGACGGGTATTGATAAAAGTGACGACGACGACGACGACGACGACGGGGAAAACACCAAAAACACAGCGCAAAAAAACGCAGACAGGAGTAAACTGGTACCCTTTTTTTGCGGAGGACTCGTAGGAGGGTTTAAACGCGTTCGGACACTCTAGTGTTCGCTTTTTTTTAAATTTGGGCATCAACAACCTTTTTGGAGCGACTTGCGCAAGTCATGGACAGTCCCCCCCTTCTCCAAAGGACTCTGCGGGTTTTGCGGAGGGGGGAACCTTGCAAGGAGCAGCCAAGAAAACAAACAACAACAACAACAGACAGGAGGAGGAAGAGATTTGGACTTTTTTGTGGGAGGGCGGTCGTCTCTCCTTTTTTCTTTTGTTTTTTGATTTGTGATTTGCCGCTTGGGCGGATGTTTGCGAGTTGAATGGATTTCTTATAAGTTGGGTTTTCTGGAGGGGGAACTTGTTGCCCTTGACTTTCCCTTCTGTCGTATTCCTTACTGCTTCTCCTTGACAAAAAGTGTTCCTTTTTGACCCCCATTAACTGTTATTTTATGGAATTTTGACACTTTTCCCAAACTTTTGGTTTCTTCTTTTTTTGTTAAATGATCGATTGCATGCATCAGGAGCTTTCTGCGTTGCTCTTACATCTGTCAAAGTAAAACGATTTAAGGCACCTTTACTTTGTTTGCCGGTTTTCATTACAATTACAGATATGGTTGATCCGTACTTTCCCCCACCACCTATTCCTCGTCCTTCTGCTGCCCCTCCAGCAGACGGTCCGGTTCCTTCCCCGTCACAGCACTCTTGTGCACACATGTATACCTTTCAGATACCCACCTGTAAGTCCCCCTTTTGTAGCAATGAAAACGGGTTCACTCTACATTTGACACTTTTAAACATGCCATAGATTATCCAGGACATCATCGACCACCAGCGGACTACTCGACCGCTCACCCACTCTACCGCACCATCAACATGGCCGAAAAACGAGCCTACCACAATGCAACCGAACGAGCCCGACGAGAGAACCTCAACAGTCGATTCCAAGAACTCGCTCAATCCCTCCCGTCACTCGCCAATGTCCGGAAACCTTCCAAATCCGTCATTGTGAACCATTCTCTCAGTTTTGTCCAAGATGTCAAGAGGAGATTGGAGATCAAGGATCGTGCGCTCGAGACATTGAGAAACAGAAACGAAGGATTGCGAAACGAAGTGAATAGATTGAGAAGTCTGTTGGGTATACCCTCCTCCGCAGACCCACTTGAAGAATTGGACGAAGATTTACAGGATAAAGAAACGAGTGCTAGTGTATCCACTAATATCGTATTACCCGGCGATACACTCCCCAAACCCAATAACCAAACTAAAATCAAACCCATCACCATCAAAACCGATACTTTTGAGCACGAAAGCGATAATGACGAACCACCATCCGGAACGGATACACTTGATATGGAGATACCCTCACCCACCGATACATCCCTTCCATACCCACCCCCATCTCTTTTAGTCCCAGATTTATACCCAACGTATCCCCAACGTCCCATAGACCCCTTGATCATTCAAGAAGAATATACCACACGCGAAACACCTACACCACCCAACGGAACACCCATTCTCGGAACACAACATCAAGAATATACAGAGCTTCCATTTCCTAGTATCCAGAAATGGGAGAATGAACATAATGGGGCTTTTGCTATGCGGAGAGCGTATTCGTTTGATGCGGCTTATTTACCTGGTATGCAGGCTGTCATGGGGTCCATGGCTACCCAAGAGAGGTTTTGAAGAGTTTTGGTTTTTGGGGGGGGGGGGGGGTAAAAAAAAAAGGGGGGGGGGTTTTGGAAAATTTGTATTTTTTCTTTTGTTTTTTGTACATGAAGGAGAAAAACGCTTTTGGTTATTTTTTTTTTTGTGGACTTTATGGGTATCGGTCGTATTTTGGACACTTTATGTTGGGGATTGCTACTTTTGTGTGGCTATCGGATTAAGATATAATTCTTGGGCGATAAATTACATTACGAAATAATGTACAGTTGCAAAAAAAAAATAAAGGCTTTATAACTCTCGGACATTACTGTCTTCTCCATCTTGCTCTCCTATTCGGTCCATACTTTGCAATTTGGATTTTAAATACTCGGTTTGATCTCGTGTTAGACCAAAGGACTCGAGAACTCTTTCATCTGGTACTTGGTCTCCACATTCTTGTTCTAGTTGTTCTATACGCTTGTCAAGGGATGCGAGTACCACTGATGCATTTCGTTCGGTAATGGGCGTTGGGAGACGTTGTGATCGGGTTAGGAGATATCGAGCGTGGGTGAGGGAGAGGAGTGCCCATGGTTTACATTCTTTGGAAAGGGAAAGGATGGCAGCAATTTCTTGCCAGGCGTTCGGGTCGTTTGTTCTAATGTTTAAATACGTGATGAACCGGTCGAGTGCCTTTACTGGTCGATGATTAAGACGGAGAAGATGGGCTCGAAAGAAAAGTTGTCCGGGTTCCTTGGACATCTTGAACCTTCATGAGCGATACACCACATTATTAGGATAAACCCAATATGCACCAACCTCTAGCGGCTCGGTAATCAGTAGAGCTTGATCCACTCGTCCAAGCTTTAATGCACATCTCCCAGCAATTTCTAGTGCCTCCCCCGCTTTCATGGGTTTCGGTAACGCCGAATTGAGGTGAAGGTATTCGAGGGAGAGAGAAAGGGCAGCATCATAGTTTTTATAAAGATAGTGGTGTTCCATGGCATTAACGAGTTCATTTGGACCCAGTTTTGTATTGAAGCGTTTTGAGAGTGGGTCAGGATTTTTATGAAACCACTAATATGGTCTGTGTTTGAGTATTATTCCGCAGGTGCAACGGACAATGCATATTTAATAGGCACTTACACCATCCAATGTGGCATTCATTCGATAGGACCAGTCAATAAAATGTCGTTGTCGTTTGGGTGCGACAGGTTCGTCTGCTTGGAGGATTTGGAAAAGCCATTCGTCATCCTCTGCAAATTGGAATAGCCCATGACTTTCGACCGCCGTGTCCTCTTGTACTTGCATTCCCTCAAGACCCAAACCCTAATCTCAACAAAGGTTCCCTTGAACAGATCTCTCTACACATGCGTTTCCGGACAGCCCAAAAACCGCCTTGTCCAAATGCACGTGACTGTCAATTTGGGGTCATCTCTTGGGGGGTGTTTGGGTTGTGGGTTCACCTTTAAGTGCTTTTCCTAGTTTTTTGTTGTTTGTTTCCTCTTTACATTCGGCACTTGCAGAAGGTTACATACGGACGAGTTGTTTTATTTTGCAAGACTGGACGATAACTGGAGGTGGGCTATACCATTTTGTGTGAGGAGATGGCGGAGATGGGGACTATCGCTGTTGGTTGGAAAAAACGGGCGTTTTTCAAAGGGAGGGAACCTATGTCGTTTTTTTCAAATGATGATGGATGAGGGTGGAGTGTTTCTCTGGGTTTGGAGGAAGGTGTTGCATCGAATGGGATGGTGGATGGAAACAAGAGCCCTAAAGTCCTGGTAGACTGCAGTTCAACCACGAGGCAGGGGCCATTTTTCGGAAATTTTTGGATTATTTGGGATATGTGGATGTTTGCGTGTGTGGATGTTGACATGCCTAAAAGTGTTCTTGCCAGATGGATTAACTTTTTCGATTTTGTGTGCAGAGTGCCTAAGTTCGCCTCCATATCAAAAGCGATACATTGTAGCTGTGGACAAAGAGCGCTGTATATAGTTTAGCATTTTGGTGAGTGGTTTTCCGAGTATTGTGGCAGAATACTCTGTATTCCGCAAATGTTATCAAGCCGGGCAAAAACGGGTTCCCTTGTGTTGACGTGTTATTAATAATGCCGCCTCGCGTTTATGCTTTTTAGCAGTATCTCGCGGGCCCCTTTTCAATTCATTCGTTGCAAGCAAAATACGAAAATCTTTGCATAAAGGCCGGGTGAAAAAGCCATCGCGACTCATGCTCAAGTCATGATCACACATGTTGATCCTAAACACCAAAACTTGGACGACAGCCCCTCTATACAAAAACACGGATACAGTAGATCTGCGCATTGTCGGACTGGTGGTGCTGCTACTCAGCGTGGCGTCTCGGTCGACATGGATCGGAAACAGGGCCTTGTACGGGAAATTGTGGTGAACCCAGATGGATCGTTGGGGGAGAGCGTTTTAGTGCCTAAACCTTTGGGCATACATGAGGCAGACCTTTTAGTTGATGCAAGACATATACCCGCCGATTCGGCAGCCTTGAATTCTGTACAGAGTCTTGGTCGTCCGCGCCAACCTTCTCGGTCTCCTCACACGACGCCCGAGACCTCAAATGGCGCCCACGCCCCGGATAATAGACGAAGATGGCAGGAAAGAAACCTCAATGGCCAGATAATGCAAGCTAGATTGAAGCCTTCACCGGGATCGATTGTTACGGCTAAATCTCAAGCATCCCCGTTTTTGGACTCGGATTCGGATGTTTCGCCCATGTCCGCCATTCCACCCATTTCGGAATCGGATGTATCCTCTGGGACATCCGATCGAATACCAAGTGCTGGTGCACTCGAGTATACCATCCCAAGAACAGTGTCTCAAACAGCACCACTCGGAACAGCCACGGATGGGTGTGGCGCATTGAGCAAATCCGACAATGGACTGACAGATTCGACTGCATCTATGGCGAGTGAGAACCTTGGACACTTGAAGCGGTCTCGACGTGGTGTACAGCAAAGTTTGCCACATTCGGAACCGGCTCGAGGTCCTTCTCGGAGGTTGCGAAATTTGTCTGATCCTGCTTCCCCTCCTTTACCCGGTTTCCCGTCGAAAAGAGAAAAATTGGGGAATGTAACTAGTCTGCGGTATGTCATTGCATGTTAAACCTATAAGACAAGTGTATGTAGATAACGCTGAACCTTTTTTTTTGGCTTCAAAGACATCAAGAAGAGTGTACGGTTAGTTCGGGATCCGAAGAGCACCCCGCTCCGACCGCAACACCCTCTACATCTACCTCAAGACCGCCAGGGAACCAAAAGCCAAACAAGCCCAAAGAACCACCAACTACACCTGCCAATACGGATGTCAGAGACGATACACTTGGGGACGCAGAGAACACATCAACGAAACGCCCAAAATCATCCAAAAAGTCCAAAACAAACTCTAGTAAGACGGAAACGGGGCCTACCAAGTGGAATGGGGTGTATGTTCCTGCTGGGCTTGCGAATCCATTTGCAAAGCGCCCCGTATCGGGTGGACGGGAGGATATGGAACTTTCGGGGGATGTAGATATGATACGGTTTGGAAGGGTGGAGAATGAGAGTCTTTTGCCTGAAGGAGTTCATCAGAGGTGGGTGTGGTTTTATGTTTTGGTTGTTGGATTTGTGAATTCTGATTGGCGTGAAAACTTGTATAGCTCAGAGATGTCTAGGCGCGATAGTTTATCCAATGGCACAGGCCCCCCAAGTGACACCTCAACCGTTCGAAGTGTGAAGGATGCAGGTGGTAGCTCTCCGCCGAGACATTCTTCCCGCTTGGGTGTTGGGGAGAAAGATACTGATGAGCTAAAGGTGAGATACTCGCTGGAAAAAGGATCCGACATTGACTGATCTATATGTTTCCTGATATAGACACAGCACAACGATGACCACTGCTCTGCGTGCTTGGGTCGTGGTCGACTACTCTGTTGTGATTCTTGTCCGAGGGCATTCCATTTTCATTGTGTAGAGGAGGGATTTGAAAGTGTTGAGGATGTGCCGGAGGAAAGTTGGGAGTGTAGAAATTGTCGTGCTAAAAAGGTAAGCATCACCAAATGTCTCTCATGCGTGACTCAAGGAGCTGACTGAGCTTTGGTTTGTTAGCGACGAGTGGCACTGGGTATGAGCAAGAAGGGAAAGAAACCCCGACCATCACTACCCCCGTTTTCCGGCACGCCTACAACAAAGACGGGGATCTTTGAACCGCTCCTACAAGCACTCGACGGAATGAATCCCAGAGTTTTTGAGCTACCCCGAGAGATTACAACGAGTTTTGAAAATGTTTTTGCGCATCCCATTACAGGGGCTTTTGTAGATACCCGCGAGATTGAAGTTGCTCGACATGGCAAATCTCTCAAACCCAGTCGCAAGGGGATTGTCACAGGTGCGGGCACCGTAGTAGGAGAGGGGCCCATTGAAACTCGACGACCTGGCGAACTGCACTGCTGCTTCAAATGCGGCAAGACTGGGTTGAAAATCATACAAACCTCGTTTCTGTCATCCCATTCTGTCCCTCAACCCCGATCTTGCTTTGGTCGACCTCAAGCCGTCCGAACGGAGCTCGTGAAATGCGACTATTGTCCCCTTTATTGGCATTTGGACTGTCTGGATCCGCCTTTGACTGGCGTTCCCCCCGAACTGAAAGAGGATGAAAAAGAAGTAGTGGACGTTGGAACGTGGAATCAATTGAGGATAAGAACCTGGGGACCGAGCGCAGCGTTAGAAATGGATGGACTTGAAAAGACCAAACCAAACAAACCGCGAGCAGAAATTGGTAATGTACAAAATGGGGAAGAGGATGGTGCGTCTGGAAGCAAAAAGAGTACACAAGCTTCTGGCCGCGCGGAGGCGGGTATGATTCAGCTGAGGAAAAAGTGGATGTGTCCTTGTCATGTGGATTGGTCGTTGCCAAAGTTGAGGATAAATAGTGGGTGGAAGTGGGTTGAGGTTACGGTGGACGACAACAAGTCGGAAGAAAAAGCCGTGACTAAAGCTGTGACTCCGAGCAAACGATCGGCAGAGGGAATTTCGGAGGGAAAGGGCCATGCGGATCCTTTGGGTTCTGCCAAGAAGGTCCGTACTGGGTCAGTAAACTTGAGTAGCAAAGACGTGGAAGATGGCCACAGCAAGAGCAAAAGTACACCAGTGGTAAAGAAAGAGACGACTCAACCGGACCCACACCCAAAGATAATCACAAACGTCAGTCGAAACAATGGATACATTGAAGTTATTAACGACCCGGCAACGAATGATCACTACTCGGGCTTTTCACCCTTTAAACCCAAGCGCCAACAAAAACGCAAGGAACGTGATGAAGAAGAGCTGGAATTTGGTGGCGTCAAGTACCGGTTACCGGAACGCCGCATCAAACTCGACTTTATCGACCGCGTACACAGCTTGAAAGACCTACGCACCGACGACCGAGTTCTAAACGACAAGAAAGTGGTACGCAGGAAGGTGAACGGCGAGTGGGAGTTTGATAGCGAATGGCTCGAAGGCAAATTTGGAGCTGTTGGACGGAGCTTTCGTAGCAGAATTGGAGAGCTGTACCATTCTCAGAACGTGGAGGCTACATTTGGTGGGAGTGTGCTCGGATATGCCGCCGTTGTTGCGGAACCCGGGGTTGCGGAGAAATATGCGGGGGAAATGCGGGCTACGGATGAAGAGGCCCAGGAGGTAGGTTCTCATTACTGTACTATCGCTTTGCATCCCGAATACAGTGCTGACTGATGACTGATTCCCGCGATATTTGCAGTGGTTACAGTCGGTCACAATGATGCAAACCGAGCTAGCCCACCTTTTAAATATGCGACGAGCAGCAAATTCATTCCAAGCACTCACGACAAATCCATCACCAACAGTCAATGGCACCGACACCAAAACTCCAAGCTCGCCCAAAGTACAAACACAACCTAAAAGTGATTGCACCCCGCCAAATGAAAACGAAACGATTCTTTTGCGGAGGGATGATCCTGATTGGGTGGCTTTTTGTCAATGGCGACAAGAACAACGGGGTTGAAATGGACTCTTTTTTTTTTTGCATGCATGTCCACCATTTTTTTTGTGTGTGTGTGTATTGCTATGGATTTTTTTTTATATTTATTGGAATGAATGAGTTGCTCTTTTTGAAATTTTTTTTGTAAGTGGATGATGCAGAGATGCCAGCTGCTTGGAAGATGGTTTTTTTGGAGCGAGTACCAGGAAACTCACTATGATGTTATCATCACCTCCCCTGCATTGGAGGTCAATCAAAAAGTTCTAAAGCCTCAAGTCTTTTTGCGGGAGTCTAAGTGGTGGAGAAATGCCAGTCAATTTGTTAATTACTCCGCAAGAGCAACTTATGATTTTTGGCACTGCATCATGCGAGTTGCGTGGCGCATTTGTAATTGCAAAGCCAAGCAGGAATGATATAAACGCTGCTAGCATTTTTCATCTCTTTCACTTTAAGTTTTGTTCAAAAAGTCCATCATGCCTCAAGCGGAATGGAACGGTGTCGGTGAGTATTTAGCACTAGACCATTTTCTTTTGCTTTGCTGACTGGCGAGACATTGGGCAGTACTCGCCCAATCAGACAAGTACGAAACAGTTGAAAACAACATTTACGTGCGTATCTTGATAATCCTCCACAACATGGCCGCTTTACAAAAAACTGAACAGTTTCCGTAAATGACCCAGTTTCCTCCTGACTCTATTCGTAAAGAATACTTTAAACCCAGCGCAACGCACAGTACTTGTCCTTGGAAAGGCGGTATGGCTTTCATTGGTTACAGCTGAACTACATTGGATCATGACGCTTTCTTTGCTACGATAGTCGCCAGTTACTACACTCTAGTGGTCAATGGTAAAGAAAATAAGGACGCTGCATGGTTTTATCCGGACCCGAAACCTGCTGCCAAAAATATCGCAGGATATATTGCCTTTTGGAAGGTGAGTACCGATCAACGGTTTTTTTTGGACAAATAAAAAAACAGCACAAGACTGACAACTCTTTTGTTTTTGAAGGGTGTTCAAGTGACGCCTTAGGTCTTGTTGGCTGCGCATGATGTGTTGATGATTACATAATACGACCTGAAGGATCGTGTGTCGTGTTCAGCTCGACCCGCATCGTCTTTTTTTTTTATATCTCCGTTTTGCAGTTTTGGGATCCCTGAACCCTTTTTGATGTCTTACTTTTTTTTATTTTTGGAAACTTTGGACTGCATCTTGAACGGAGATGTAATGTACTATAAAAAAACATAAAGGTTTTTTTACAAGTCGGACAATGAGAGTGTGCTTTAAGCCGTCCCGTCCTTAATCTTTTAGACAGGCCAGAGTTTATCGGCGTGTTTACTTTCTCTTTTGCCCACAAAATGGTCTGCACTTTACAAGCACGTCGATCATCCTTTTCCACTGTCCTCAATCTTCGCAGCGTGGCCTATGCTACAACCAAGCAACGAGCATGCAGCATATGGGTTTCTTCGCCTTCTATCCTGTATCAACATCGTAAACAGCCACATGCAGCACTGATGATGGAGGATATCATACACGCTATTTGCCAGCAGATTGAGGATAGAAAGGATTTGGTTGCCGCTGCGTTGTGCTGTAGGAGGTGGAAAGAGGCCAGTACCCCATTGTTATGGAGGGAGTTGACGATTGGGACCCGAATACCTGGTGTGTTAAACTTTGCGCTGTATTGTTTGAGACTGCAGATCTTTCTCGTGTGGTTTAGAAATAACAATGTTTGACATCTACAGGAGACATTTGCAAGTTTACTAAACTCGCCAATGTTGGTTCTATCGGTGAACTCCACGACCTTATCGACATTGACTACATTTGCACACCCTCCGACACCACCCGTCTCCAACTCTTGCTTTGCGCTCTCCATACCAACCCCCATCGCGCCGGCCATGTCCGGTCCATATCTATCCACCTCGAATGTCATTTTACATCCTTCATTCGATATAACCGAAACAGCTACATTGATTTCGACGACGAGGATGTTTCTGCCAATGTCAAGGAAAAAGCTTGGCAGACCTTTGTCTCTCGTGCGGGTCTTTGCATGCGGATCCTCAAACTGTTGCCGCGGCTAGAGACCGTTCATTTGACGTTGGAAGTACGATTGGAGGAGCATTGGCGAGATGAATTCGACACTCTTTTGAAAGAGTTTGCTGAGACGGTGTCCCAAAGTGGAGTACCAAGAGTCAAGCGATTTCATTTATGCGTTGGTCCGAATGCCGTCATACCGTCTCCAAAGGGCATTACTGAAATGTTCTCATCTGGGCAAGTCATACCGTCTCCCCGATCTGTTCAACTGTGTTCATGGCATGCTTGGTCACCATCGGATGTCGTGGACCTGTTACAAAATGTGGGACCTCTCCAAATGCTTGTATTGAAAAACGGAGCAGCTGTCAATGCCTCTGTACTGCAAGCAATGGTGCGTCATGCCCCCTCATTGCAACAGCTAGAAATCTCGGATACTCAACGTGTAGCAGACAATGTACTGTTTGATGAAGTTTTACCGAGCGCATATAATTTACTGGATCTGACACTGGACGGAGCTGTCGTAACATGGGCGCACTCCTCTTCAAAACGATATACACTAGGATGTACCCGTCTCGTGCACCTGAATGTAAACCGTTGCATTCGTCTCCCGGGAGGTTTCTTTGACGCTGTCGCGCGTACATGCCCCCTCTTGGAAACTCTATGGGCCCGCGACAATCCAGCCATCACCGACACCCATGTCAGAGATATACTCCACGGCTGCAAAAGACTATCCAACATGGATCTAAGTCGTTGCGAAAATCTGAGCATCACAGCCTTGCATCACGTCGCAGAGGCTTGTCTACCACTACTCAAAAATATCAACATGCAGGGGTGTCCCCGTATTGTCGCCTATGGTGGCGCCGGCGTTGCCATTCGCATTGCAGAAAGCTGCCCGCGTATGCGAGAGCTCAAAGTGGGTCCAGTGCACCAAAAGGCCTTAACGGTGGGATGGAGAGTCTTGGCAAATTTGCATCGTGTGAGTGATCACCCCGAAATGCCTGCAGCGCATCTGTTGCATTTGCATTGCGATCGTTATGTTGCGTTGAATATGACCTTGTTGCGAAAGTATGTCGCTTGTGCTGAACACCTTCTTAAAGAAGTCTTTAGCGAGGAGTCAGCTGGTATATAGATAGGTAGATAGTATTAATTCTCAGTGTAGAGAAGATTTAGAGATAAACAGCGCCCTTTAGGTTGAAGCTTTTTGCAGTTCAGGCAAATATCGGTTGGATGGTAAACGGTCAACAACAACGTTATTCAAACGCAAGATCAATCCATCTTTCTGAATTCGTGAAATATGAGTTATATGATTCTCTGTATGCTTATCCGCCTGCACAGCAGGGCAGAAGATAAATACATTTACTCCATGTCGCATATATGTAATACAACATGTACTCTATTCTATAATATTCTACAAATACGAGATAACACTAAATAATGACCGGAATCAAGCTTCCCAGGGCGCAACATGTGCCCGTGAACCTTGTGCCAAAGGTTTAATTACAGTTACATCAACGGCTGACACGTGCCCGTTGGAATGAGTAGGCACCGCTGGGGATGAGGTTGGAAGGTTAAAGGCATTGATGTCGCTGGGTGTTGATAGCGTGGTGGAAGAGGCAATCATTTTCGCACTATTGACGTTAGTCCGAACAGTAGACGCTCTCGGAAGGGTGCCTTTCGAGGGAGACAGTTCAAGGCATGCAGGCAATGGCGCAATCTTGGCACTGTCTGGTATCCAAGATGGTGGATCGTATGAGGAGATGGGGCGAATCTTTGGAAGTTCCCAGGCCATGGGTTGGGGTGAAAACCGCTTTGAAAAATTAGGTTTAAGTTTGTCGTCAAAATGCGTACGCGATATGGCTCGGCGCCGAAGAATATAAAGAAATGTTCCCAAAAGTATGAGGACCGCCAGCACGATTCCAACAATGGCTCCCGCGGACATGCCACGTTGGCTATTGTCGGTTCCCGTTGACTGCGAGGTACTAGCGGCGACAGGTGCTGATGGCGGTGGCAATAGTTCATTGGGCAGTTGCCCTGTAAATTAAAATTGTGAGATCAAAGCCATGCAAATCTCGTCAGGGCAACACCCATTCATACCTTGCTTATACAAGGAAATGCGTATGCCGTTATCACGGTTCCCCCCGCAACTATTGTAGAGCCCAGTACCCTTGTAACGACAAGCGTTATCACATTCTGATGGTGGAGATTTCTGCCATTGAGTGGCATTGACTGTATCTCCAAAACAAATGCGCCCTCCAGGTCCAATCGAACATGCATCCAGACCCCGCTGGGCACATATTGCGAGACAGTCTTCTGGTGGAACATCATGAGTCAGAATGGTTGACAGTCCCGGAGGTCCCTTGACGGATTGATAGCATCCTGCAGGTTCTCACATTAGAGGCCAATTGATGCCCACAAATGCAACTGGTGTGGTCTTACCTTCCAAGTACCATTTTTTGGCTCTATCTTCGGGGGCAACTTCAGGGGGTAGCGGGGTGGAAGGAGTACCTTGATATGAGATGCTTCCATTGCCTCTACCGACTTCGTACACGGCGATATTGAAGCCTAAACCGAGCGCCCTAAATCCACCACATCCACCGTCTATCTTTCCGCGCAGCGGACAAGGTGTTGAGCACTTTTGATCCGGAATTACTCCACCTTTCCGCCAGTCCCCCGTCCATGGCCCTCCCAAACAGAGTCCCCCGCCATTTGTCACTTTATTCTGAGGTATTACTCCACAGGCGGTCAAGCCGTATGAATCGCACATTTGCAGGCACGCCTCCAGAGTTCCCTGCTGCCCGGTTTTCTCGACGACCTCTGACAGCGTCCCCAGGTTCACTGGGAAGATGTGATTGTTTCCACTGGGGTCGTCTTCGTAGCAGCCAGCATATCTAAAGTCAAGCTGAATGGTCTCTGTGGACAGTCTATCAGCAAAACAAGTACGCGTTTTCGTCGCTTTCAATACGCCTACCAACCTGCTGCCAGAGCACCGGTCGCCATCATTGCCAGAACGCTGTAGGAATTCAGGCGCATTGTGACATGTTCATGATGTCAAAAAAAAAAGGAGATTGCGGGCGAAACCCCTCGCACACTAATCATCTTTCATCCAAAGTGTCCAGAACACGTGACACCGGGGAGGAGATTCTGAACGTCACACTTGCTGGTCAGTTGTTGCGGAGCTGAAACTGGTCTGGCTTTATCATCAGTTCGATAGCGTAAGGGAAGCATTTGCTTTCATGCTTTTAACGAAAACCAGCAAATGATTTGTAGTTATGTGTTGTCGTTTTGTCCAGCATTTGGGGGGGATTATCGCCCAGTTCGCCCCGACAAGGGCTATCCAGCTGACAAGGTGTCGCCCAACAGGAACAGCCAGCGACTAGAGTGGGTGCCAATGAGTGGTCTAATCCCGTCCGTGCTCCAATTGCAATCCTATCTATTAGTTGTAGCGAGTCGGTGGCCAGCAGTCCGTAATATCTACCAAATCCCAATTTGGTCAAAGTTGACAGTCTCCGTATTAAACATCCCGAAATTAAGCAACTCCACAACTATATACAAAATTAATCCAGAATACATGTCAGACAATATACAACAGTCAATCTCTCCACCGCAAGTTTCACTGAGTAGAAGGCAGAGGGGTTGCTGCCACAGGAGCGGACGACCCGGCTGATCTCAATGCGCCAGTTTGCCACAGGACGATCAGGATCACCACCGCTAGCAAGAACAGCACAAGACAGGCCAGACAGACTTGCATTTTGACATTCTGCCACCACATTTTTCTTCGCACTTCTTTGGCAGACTTTTTGAACCGATTCGCTTGCGTTGCGAGGTTCTCTGTTTTCCCCTGTAGCTGTTCGAGATTCTCCCCTCGTGCCATGAGCTTTTGGATATTATCTTGGGCAATATCGACAGTTTCATTGACTTCTTTCAACACCTGTGAATGACAACATTATAACCAAGTCCTTCTGAGATTGTACACCTTCTGTCAATTACCTGTTCGGTTTTGGTTGGCACCGGCTGGTATGAAGCAGCCTTCCCATTGTTTGCTGGAACCGCTTGCATGATGTGACAGTGGATATCAACGGTCTGGGGGAAGCTCTGGAGATGAATGCAAATAATCCAACGCTTTAAAACGTTCGAGCCGTTGAGTAGCTAGCGCGGGGCGGAGCAGCTCGACGTTGCAAGGCTGAGTGCCCTGTGGCACAGTCATCGTTCTCTGTATGCTAAAGGCAACGACGTTTCGCTGACATCTTCTTGGTTCAGATTCTTGCCCTGAACTACCCTCTTGACCTGACTCTAGGTATAGTGTTCGGATCGGAGAAGTTGACATGAGAATATGGTTCGCAAGGTGACGCTGGTATAAGTCTTACCTGGTTGGCGTGCCTGGCCTTGTTCATCCCGTCCGTCAAACACGGTCGAAACTCTTTCTTTCTTTCTGGCCTGTGCCTAGCACAGACTGTTTATGATTAGCCCGCATATGACTAGCCCGCATTGCTATTTGTTTATTGCAAACTTATGGCGACGAGAATGTCATTGATCTCCAAGTGGTTGGCATTGCCCGACACGATGGAATGATTATGTAACGCCTCGATCAGTTTTACACACTTGGGCGGCGGTGCAAGTTCAAAAGCATTCTCCTGGCCTCAATTTCCACCTGGCATGGCCCAGATTGCGTCCCCGAGCGCAGAGATGGTAGCAGCGGCTGCGACGGGCATATTGTATATTAAATAGGGCAGCAAAGGCGACTGAAAGTATAAACAAATGACCATCTTTCCGGGTCGCGTTTACATAATCTTCTCGTTAGCGTCGTCCTTCCAGGAGACATCCGCGGAGAGCTTAGGCCCAGGAGATTCACCAGGAGGTTCCAACGACGCTCTTGGTAGGCCCCCCTGCGTTGCGAAGGAAGGTCATGCAACCGGAAACTTTCGTATTGTGGAGAATTCCGGAGCGGAGGATTTTGGAAAAACCGCAGTTCCCGAGGGTTATAAAAAGGGCAGCATTTCTCGCCTCCCCCCCGCTTCTTCTCTACGCGGTGGGGTTTTCTTGTGCTTTGGTTTTTGAGGTGGTATTTGTTTTGCTTTGTGTTTTGTGTTTTTTATGTCAGGTTTGTAAGGTCGGGTTTCTTTCTTGTCTTCTTCTTCTTCTTTATTTCCTGCCGCGTATTCTAGTCTTCTCGTTGGTTGAACAGGACTGAGTGACCCGCGTTGGGGGAGCGGCACCCACGATCCACCTCGGTGGGAGTGTTCTCTGGTTCCGGCCAGGGGGAGGGCCTGTCTACAATAAAGGAAGAAAACAATAATAAGGAAGAAATGTGCAGGAAGCTTTCAAGTGCTGTCCTCTCCCAAATCCAACTATGCATTCTATGGTGTCCAAACGCGCTCGCAAGGAGATGGTATCAACCAGATCGTCCACAATTCATGTCAAATATAGACATTGTTGGCAGAGATTATCATAGATCCGGTAAACTACTCGAAATGTGTCCAATGGGCACATTATCATCCATGAGTACAGTTTTGCAGTCCGGCCTACGATTCTCATCCGAAAAAGGGATTGATTGACAACGCAGGACGCCCTTATCACGTCTCTGAAACCTATAAAACGTGTGGCATCTGCTATCATAGTCATCCAAGACTGGATGAATAGAGAGTACCTGGTTGCTCGGGCTGTGTATGCTGCGACGGGTATCGCTTCAAGAGCATATGCTTGCATGTTTTCGAATTGGAGATAGAGTTCGCACACGTACTGTGTATGTTGGACATAATTGAGCCTCCGATGTAATCAATCGATGTTCATCAGAGCACTGATACAAGTTAACGTTATTTAAATCACAGTTTCATTACATTAAACCAACCCAAAAATTATGTACAATTAAACGTTCAGTTCAACAGTGGAACCAATAAATACAATCTACTACTAGCACGTTGTCTAATCGCTCGCCTCTAAGCTATTATAGTTTGCACCTCCTTATTCACCATCCTGTATCCTGCCATTTCCTTCTCTCGCTTTATTCTTCTCATCTCGCTCTCAAGGGTTTGTCTGGCTGATATCTCTTTTGTCAGCTGGGCGGAATGCTCGGCTCGCAAGTCAGCCACCAGCTTTCTAAAGTCGGCTCTCATTGACGCTGCGGATGATGGAGCTCCATCACTTGAAGATCCTAGTTTTTCAATTGACAAATCTTGTATCTGCGCTTTCAAGGCATCGAGCTCGGCCTTTTGCTTCGAGACAAGTTCGTTGTGCTCAGCTGCCTCAGTTTCCAGCTCTTTATTCGAGCGAGTCAGCTATAAAGGCACTCGATGTCAGCAACAGCTCGTGTATAGACCAGACAAACAGAAATCAAACTTACTTTTTCATATTCTGACTCCAATTTGCTGAGCTTGCGTCTCATGATTTCTTCACGGTATCTACAGTCTTCCATTTCTTCCACCATGTCCGCCTTGCCCTTTTTCAAATCCATCACCATTATCTGCATGGTCTCCACTAAGCGCGAACCTTCGGCAAACTCTTTCTCTTTTGCCGCCATAGACTCTTTATATTGAGCCAGCTCGCTGGTGGCACGTTCAGCTTCTGCTCGTGCGTTTGAGATTTCCGACTCTTTGTTCTCCAACATATCCTGTATTTCCCCAATCTCTCCAGCTATGGATAGTGCCTCCTGAAGCTGCTTCTCCTTTTCGTCCATCCTTAGCCGCAGGGAAGTAAGCTCTTCCTCCTTTGAGTCTACCTGAATGCGTAAGCTCTCGAGCTCGGCAACCATGGAGCTCGCCTCTGCTTCTGCTTCTTGAGCTCTCTTTTCTGCCTTTGCCAGGTCTGCTTCTATCTGCTGCAGACGAGACTCAGCTTGCGCTTTCTGTTGCGTAAGGTCCGCAAGGCTGCTCTCCACCCTCGCCTTCTCATCTCGCAAGGCAGTCTCAATGGCATCTTTTTCTCGTTGCAAGGAATCGATTTCTTCCTGCAGCCGCTCTCTTTGCTGGAAGAACTGCTGTTTTGATGTAACCAGGGCAGTTTCGGAGACATCCAGTCGAGCGCGCATTTGCTCTGTATCCGTTGTCAAGGAAGCAATCTCCGCATCATATGTCTGGCGCAGCTCAGTCAAAGCTCGCTCGTGCTCAGCACGTAATGCTTCAACATCGTCAGATGATGATGATACGCTGGCTTTGAGGCTTTCCTCCTTTTCTATCGATTTCTCTTTCTGTCCTTCTCCAACAACCATATCCTTTCCCATGTTTTCCCATCTCGTCCGCAAGTCACTGCATTCTCGCCGTGCCATCAGTAGGTCATCAGTAAGCCCGTCCAGCTCTTCCCGTTGACTGTTCCGCAGCAACTCCATTTCATTCCTATGTTTTTCTTCCATTGATCGTGCTTGTTCCATTAGTTCACGGTCGAGATCTGCAAGTTGCTCTTTAATATCTGAACACTCCTCTTCCAAGTCATTGCGCTCTCTTCTGAGCTTCTCCAGCTCAGCAACAACTTCCTCTAGGCGCTCGGATTTCATTGTCACCTCCTTCTCAAGAAGCCCTATGCGGTTCTCATATTGAGTGCGCTGAACCTCCAATTCTTCCTGTTGTTTGTCAACACTCTGCGACAGATTTCGGGATGCGTTCAACGAGTCTGTAGACCTTACGAGAGCCAATTCCCGCACCACGGAAGCATGATCTTCCTTTATGCGGTCTCGTTCCGCTTGAGTTTTCCGCAACAATATCTGCAACTCGGCCAGTTCCTTCGTCGACCCAGAACGAGCATTCTCCAATTCGACCTCCCTCACAGCCACGTTTTCAACATGTCGCTGTACATCTTGAAGTTCGGATGCAAGAGAGGCGCGCTCTTTGAGAATTTCCTCAACACCGTTAATTAAAGCGTCAACAGAAAACGCCTGATGATCGCGTTTGCGCATGGTCGCTGTTACTTGGGAATAGAGTTGACGGCATTTGGCAAGGTCTTCCTCAGAAATTGCCATGGCGGTAACATTCTTTGATAACTGTCGCCGCAAATCCGCAATAAGTGACTCTTGCTGCTGAACCTTGGCATCCAACTTTAAGGATTCAGAAGAGGACCTAGTATTGTTCCCTTGGCGCATAATATTGCTGTTAATACTTCTTAATGAAAGGACCGACTTGTTCTCGTCGTCATCTTCCGTTTCCGTGTCAGAATCTGACTTTGGACCTCCTCGAGGGCTCTTTAACAACGTGATCGGAGACGGTTGTTGTCCCTCCTGGCGCATTTCTTCCAGCTGCCGCCGCAAATCACTCGATATTTCCTGTTCCTCATTCAACTGAAGCTTTAATCGCTCACGTTCCAAGACAGCGTCCCTCAATTGTGCACCAAGCACCGATCGCATACTCTCCGATTGAGTGGCAAGCTGCTGTGACATCTGCTGACGGTACCAGACACTAGATCTAGCTGGTTTCTCATCCCCAGATGACGGTGTCGTCGAGAGTGCTGCTGCTGCGGCCTTCATATCGGCTTGATTTGTAACTTCCTCGTTTTCTGCTAGCAGATCTGCAATGGTCTGGTTTTTGGCTTCCATGGCGGTAACATTTTCGTCCAACTGCAGCTGAAGCATTGCAATGTTGTCACGCGCAGCAGTCAATTCCTCCATTGTCGCTGCCAGCTCTGCACGGGTGGTAGCCAAATCAAGTTGTGCTTTGTTGTAGTCGGCAGTGGATGGGGTCCCTCCCAACTGAACCTGTTGCCTAAACTCGCGCGTCATCCGAGCTTCTCTCTTTGCTTCCGCTGCCAGTTTGCGAATCGGTTCCTGCTCATATTCAAGTCGTGTGATGGTGTTTTTCAGAGCTAGATTCTCGCGCTCTTGTTCTTTTATCCGAGTCTCCGCCGAGGCTAGTTTGCGTTGCAATTCCACTACAGAAGACGTGTCACCGTCCATGTAGCGCGACGGCGAAAGTTCGTTTCCGTCTTTGGCGTTCGCAGCACCCCATCGTAGTACTCCACCAATATGCTTAAATACCATGCGCTCCACCTCGATCAATCGGCTGAGGCATCCCCAAAGCTCAGCTGCAATCGCATCCACCTTTTTATCAGCTTGTGCCAGTTGCTCTTTCGCTGCTTGGGCCTGAGCTCTATCCTTTGAATCAAGCCTTGCTAATGACAATGCTGCTTCTCGGATTTTTGTTTCGAGTGCTAGCCTACTTTGTAAGCTTGATATCTGGTTCGATAGAGATTTAAGATCCTTCTTTCGCTCTTCGTACTTTTCAGCAGGCAAAACTCGAAAACGTGCAGCGTCCTGCATGGCTTCCCGCGCCATGAGTTGCATAATCATACCGTCAGCAACGTCAGCCATCGAAGATGTCGTAGTCACGGTAAAAGAGCTCAGCCGTTTCCCTCCAGGCATGAACGAATCGTTGCCGGTTTCTGTGTCTTCGTTTCGGTCGCTCCCATTTATCGTCGGCTGTTTAGCAAACGCATCAATAATTCGCATTTTTAGAATGACGTTCAAACAGGTATCTCCAATGATGAGCGCTGGGGACGGGGATGTGTTTCGCCCTATGTCATTCGAGGGATTTCTTGTCCGCGGAGGCACGGAAGGCGTACTGCTGGCAGATAGAAGTGAACCAGCGGAGGAGGAGGGAGAGACAGCTTTGCGAGGTGGTACTATCAATCTGGTCCTGACCGTACCAGCGGTGATCGGACCCATACGCGGTGGCGCTTGCAATTGGGGGCGCTGCGCACGAATATTCGAGAGATCATTAGGGGAGTACGTTAGATGTTCACCACGTTTCTTACATACCTCGTGATCTGAACCTCCTCTTGGAGATGATCCTGAAGATACGCTAGTTTTCGATGCATGCGAGGACTCGGATGATCGACTAGGGGATGTCTGACGATTTCTGCTGCCTTTTCCGCGTCCTGGTAGGAGCTTCTCAATATCAGCCAGAATCTTATCAGACTCAAAATCTAGCCCGTCGTTCATGTCACTAGAGCTCTCTGAGCGATCTACGTTGGACTCCTTTTCTTCTGCCACGAAGCTCAGATCGCTGTGACCGTTTAGGGATGGTGACATTTCCACAGTGAAATCTTCGAGCTGAGATAGCAGGCTTGAGATTGGACGGGCACCCTTGCCTTGCTTGCGAGCTTCGGCCTTTAGCTGAAGCTGCAGAGTTAGCAATCTCCAAACACATTTCCGACTCGTTCATCAATGAACACATACCAGGTCCAAAGTCCCTGGGGCACGGCGCTTCTGCGCTAGCGCGCCCTTATCAGGAGGCTTTCTTGATGGGGGCACATTGCCCGAAGGTGGTGATGTAGTCCGACTAGCAAACTGGTTGGAAAAGAGTTAAAGTGGTGAATGGCGCGAAAAGGGACAGTCAGAGTCCCTTACCATAGCTTTCGCGGCAAGTATAAAGTTGCAAACCTGAATCCACAGACGTTAGTTTCACCTTCAGCTATTGCTCTCAAGTATCCATTTCTCCATACATACGTAGCCTGCAGGCTATCAAGCACTGTAATGTGCTCAAGGTAAAATGCTTGCTTGTTTTTTGCCTGGTCAAATTTCTTGAAATGGGGTTGGAGTCAAGAAACTAGGAATTCGGGCAAAGGGCGCCTCATCAAAGCGGATGAAACGGGGAGCTAAGCCATCCTTCCATATATGGTCATATAGCGGTTCCAATCAAGTTTCAAATTTAATTCTCATTTGGCAACCCTGCAGGCATCTTACTTTCAACCCAAAGGCCATATCGCAAAATCCCATTTCTTGCGGGTCGACCATCCATCCATCGTAGCATCCATCCATCCAAATGGCTGTAAGTGAACTGCTTGTCGATCTTGTGGAGACGAACGTCGTCGTTTGTGGAGTGGAATGTTGGAGAATTTGGAATGGGGCGGGCATGGGGATGACATTTGCATGGCACGAAATTGACATTTGGATTTGAAATTTGCAGAAACGCACAAAGAAGGTTGGAGTGACCGGAAAGTACGGTACCCGTTACGGTGCCTCCCTGCGTAAGCAGGTGAAGAAGATGGAAATCACGCAGCACGCCAAGTACACCTGTACTTTCTGTGGAAAGGTGTGTATTCTTGAAAGCGCGGCATATGGACACGAGTTTAGAAAGAGAGAGTTGAGAGTCCTGGTCTGGAGAAGTTGGGGGATGGAAACCATGTTTGAATATTGCGGAGAGGAACATATCCGAAAAGACAGAAACAGCTCCATACTGGCGTGGACAAAAGATCGGAATGCTCATTTTGTTTTTTGTTTTTCAGGACTCTGTGAAGAGAACTGCTGTGGGTATCTGGAACTGCCGAAGCTGCCGGAAGACATTGGCAGGTGGTGCGTGGACTGTCGGTACCAGTGCTGCTGCCACTGTCCGTAGTACTGTCCGTCGTCGTAAGTTTTTTTTTTTTTTCGTGCATTGTGATTCTCGAACTGTAAATCTGAAGCTTGCCCTATCACAAATAGTCCGTGAGTTGACCGAGGCGTAGATGCAGCTCGGGGATGGAGATGTTTGTGCAGGCTACATGGAGAGGAGCGACTGTAGATCAACGTTGGGTTATTCCCGCTGTGTGTACCAAAGCTCTCTGGGTACAATACATTTGAAATCAATAGTTCGATTTTTGTTTTACCTGATGCGAGATGTGGAATGCTGTTAAAGAATTGGTGTCACGGTCCTGCCATCACGCTTTCGTCTATGAATTGGCGGTTCACACTGCAGTAGTTTCTCTCTAAAATCGTCCAATGCTTCCAATGATTGCTGGCACACGAGTTATCGTTCTGCTTGCCACTGTGGGCCTGTCGAATGCGTTACTGTCACCAGCTAATGAAACGTACAGCCACTCATGTCCATGGCAACAATAGTTCGTCCCAACTTACCACCAATACTCGCGCGGACGGTGGATGGGACGTGGTGAACGACGACACTGGCATAAGTTTCCATCCGTGGACTGCCCATAACTGTTAAGTCTGGCGTACCCATCTTTATTAGCACTCTGCGATCGCTTGTCATGGCCGCAGAGTGGCAGCCAGAAGCGTGCCGTGTCCTTCATGATCTCCTGACCACGGCATTGCGATCTCCGTCCGCGAACGTTTCCAGGAAGCTTCAGGTTACCTTATCTCAGCTTGGGACAGTTCTGTGCAACCCTTTCCATGCGGAGCATAAACTTAAAACGGCCAAGAAGGAGCTCCAAGAAGGTTAGCTACTCTATACAAGCTGTGCACTGACGATCGTGATGAGGTAGATGCCCCCTCCGGCGAGTGTAGTGAATACTCCCGGACAGGGAAGCTAATCCGGAAAGGGGCTCTACTCGTCCTGTACCGACTGTTGTTAAGACGCCTTTTTGGCAGAATGGAAAGCTAACTTGCGATGTGTGCCTGTGTCGTGTAGGAACGATTGTCATTAACGGAAGGCGACAGCACGCCAATGCGCAGTTTGTCGAGGCAGCCATCTTTCTCTCTGATGTTCTTGATATCCATGAGACACGGGCTGCAGCTCTATTTCAATATGCTTGTGCTCAACGTGCTCGATACGAGGGTTGGTCACCGATCAAGATTGCAGTAGATGCCTATCATACCGAGCGAGGTTATATGCTCGAGAGTGTGGTTCTACTTGTAACCAGATTTGTAGCCGGAAAAGCACCGGAGGAATCAATGGCTGGAGTCAAAACATTTTTGGAGGGAATGATTGAGCCAACTCCTTCTTACGCCCAGACATTGCTTAAATCGATGACTGATATGGAATCCAGAATTCAAAAGCTTACCAGAGATCCGACGCTCAATGGCATTCTGACACAAACGAAAATGCAGAACCTGGGAGTCGAAGATGATATTGTTGCGTTGCATACAAAATTCCTAGAAAAGGAGAGAACACGACTGGGGGATATATTCTATTATGTCACTGCCAGATGGAAGCTGGGTAGCGAGGAGTGCGTGAAGGTGCTACGGATACTGCAGAAGGCAGAAACTCCCAACCTTGTCACCGTTTCACTCTTGTGCGCGTTTATGATCAACTTCGATCGGTTTCACCCAACGATTGATCCTGACATGGAGGAAAAGGAAGATCCTGACGCTGGGGTAATAGATTTGCTGCAAAAAGAGATTCAAAGTACAGCATGGGTTTTGCCAGGACTGAGAGGCGTAGTCTGGACGCAATGGGCGTGTTTTCTTCACGGTTACTTTTTGAATAAATCGGACGCCGCGCCGCGAGATGACGGTTTGCACATCTCTGCCAGGATGCAACAGGATACCGTGAGCCGCAAGTGGATGGAAAGTGTGGGTCGGCATCCTGATGCATACAATTTCTTGGTGGACTTTGTGATACCATTTCAGAGGAGTAAGGAGGAAATTCGGCTTGCAGAAGTGCGTGGAACTCCGACACTGTATATAGACGAGGAACTGCGTGAAGAGTACATATTCCGTGTGGAGCATCTCATCGACGGGATTCTGTTGCACCTAAGACGGTATTTGAAAGAAGTCAAGAACGCCGACGAAGATGCAACACGGGCTGCGGAGGAACCAATCGAGCGTGGTCGCTTTGGAAGCTCCCACGCCCCTGTACCTAGCAGCTTGTCGCCACCAGGTGGTCCAGTGCGACGAACCGCGTGGGAAGCACTTTTATCCTTGATAACAATTTTGTATCGTGACCGACCTGATGCTGGGATGAGTTTTTGGAAGGATCCGCGGACCGATAGGATGGATTACGATAGAGCAGATGGCACTTTCTCCGAAACACTTGAGAAACAGGCCTTTGTGAAAATGGCAGCAGATGTTACGACCAGCCGATTTTTGAAAGCCTTCATCGATATGCTAGCGTCTCTGGCAACGGGCAAAGTGTCCGCTCAGGAAGTGCATATCCGACTCAATGCAGAAGTCAGCCAAAGTCAATTGGGCAAAGTCCTGTGGACAACGTTCTTTCGCTCTTTGACGGGTGCCATCGACGTTTTAAGTAGAGGCGCGCCTGAATTGAAGCCGGATGAATTGGGACTGATAATGGCTTTCCTGCGTCTTCTGCGCCAAGTCGTTAAGTTTTCTTATCATGCGCGGCGAGTTCTTTGCGATAATCAGCAGTTGCGAGCATTGTCCACTTTATTCCGGCTTCTTGTGAGCAGAGTTCCCGTTGAACTGAAAGGCGCATTGCTGGAGAGCATTGCTGCTTTTTGTATCCCAATCGGCAATTCATACGCTATCCAGAGTCAAGTGTGGTTGTTGCTGGAGCAAACTCAGATTGTCCCCACAAAGCCACCAAATCGAGGCGCCCAGTTTACAAATGCATTGTACAGCGGCAGTTCGCAACCGATGCCAATATCTGATGACCGTCGTGATGGCATCGCTTATGATTTAGAGGAAAGAGAGCGCCCGATTAGGACATACCCGGAGACACTAGCATTTCTTCGACTCTTGGCAGTGCTATTGCATGGACCGAAAAATGCGCAGATGGTGTCTGTGTTGGAACAACTTGGCTTACCGGAGCGCGCACCAGGAATAGGACCGTATATTCGATTTGTAGCTGACCATGTGTTCCTAACGGCGCAATCTCGAGAGTTCAATTACGAAGACGAAAGATGGGAAATGATATCCACCTGCCTGACAATTTTTGAGAAATCCTTGCAGTTGTTTGATCTAGGCTCCCTTATGTCCGAAAGATGGGATGGCGATAAGGGCACCGGCAGTAATGCTGAGCAAGTTTTGACCGGTCATGGCGGATTTGGACCAAATATCCTCCACAATGCGCGATCGCTGGTGTTACATCCCGGATTTGAGATCGAAAGTCGCATTCTGAACGACTCCAAGTTTACCAAAAAACTTTTCGAACTCCTGTCCATCGGCGTAGAAAGCGTAAACGAGAGTATTGACAACGTACCACTGCGCGGACGGTCGGTTCTGCTAATCTTCCGGATTCTTCTGCGGGTGCTGCAGAATCAGCGAGTTTTTTTGGAGATTCTTGCGCCCGCTTTGTTAGAGGCACGAGCTGGAAGCGCCCCGGGATTATCCGCTTCCATGTGTGGTCTCGATCAACTGCTAGCATGTAACAAGGATGTCATTGTCCATATAGTCCGGTATCTTCTCTGCGCAGATGATGCGATTGCCCTCTATGCTGTACGTATTGTGAACACCTTATCTCAGTCACCATTCCTCGGAAGTGCTGACGGAGGCGGGAGAGTTAATCGACTGGTGAGCATTCTTCAATCTTCGGAGCATCGCGACATGCTTGTCAGAGGGTTCGTCAAACGCCTGGAAATGGAGGAAGAGGAGCAAAATGCTGCAGTCATCGAAAATGCGGATATAAGAGGGACGGAAGGTGGACCAATGTTCAGCGAAGGACCGGACACTAAAGAGTCTTTGGCTTTGATAGCGGAGAATTGGCAGGACAAAATCTGGCCTGACTACCAAGTCGGATTGGTGCACATGGTCCGTATGGCTATCCTCGATCTACTCCTTGTCAATGTCACCGCAGTCCGCCCTTCGCCGACAATCGCGCATTTTCTCCTTGGGTACACTGGACGCGTCTCAGCCGCGCAGTCAAGCGTTAATGGTCCTTCGGGTTTGAGTGGCGAATATAATTGTTTGCATGCTATCCTAAATCTTATCCGGGTCAGAGCGCGGGATACGGCCAGACCGCACGATGCACCTGAGTTTGAAGATGTCCGAGCTCAACCCTTGTTTGTCACTCATCCGCGTCTGGCAGAGCGTTGCTATCGCCTAATATATCACCTATGCGCCGATAGCTTCACATCGGCCTCTACCATGCGTTATTTGCGAAATACCGAAGACTATTTCTACCGACAGCTGCAAGCCATGCCAGTTGACAAAGTGGAGATATCGGAGGATTCCGATATTGAAAATAGCATTCTATTGGCGACATTGCTTCAGCGTGCATGGCTGATGAAGTCGGTTGCCCTCGAGCTTCACGTTACAACTGGTGCACAACAACGGTCGCATGCACAGAAATTGGTCAATGTGCTCTATGTCGAGCCGATGCAAACAACCGCATCGCAGCAGACGGAAGACGAAGATGACATGGAGCTTGCAGACGACGATTATGATGGCATGGGCCCCTCGTCGAACTATCCCACGTCGTTTGAGCAACCACTTACAAAGATCATGGAAATCTTGAATTCCATGAGTTTCCATGATATGGACGCTCAGAGTCTCTCAGTGAGCATTCCATCAAAGATTCTGGAGATGATTAACTTGGAGGACTTCCGTCGGGACGGTATATACGATATTCGCGCTGTCCACCATCACTTAGTTGCGATATCAGAAAAGTCGGATCCAAAGGGGGAAGTACTCGGCGAGACAAGGAGGATACTGTCAGAACTTCTCAGGAGTAACTTTGGTCAGGAGATTGGCTCTGCTAGGTGCCATTGTGCGCAGGCATGGGGCCAAATGGTGCAAGTTACTCTCACTCGGTGCTTTTCACTCATCCCGGCTGATGTTCGCGAGGGAAAACTGTTTGAGATATTATCCACTTTACTGCCGAAGATGAACTACAGTCCTACTGCCCCATCGATTGCCGAGGGAATGTCTACCGTGGTGCTTGTTTTGCTAAATGGGATGCAGAAAGATCGGACATTCCAGTCCTTGATACAGACGGCTACCTTACAATCCGAATCTACAATATCTACAATTCGTTTGCCAACTGAGACTTTGCAACAGGTCGTACTTCGCGGGATACTGGACGGAATAGGAAAGTCGGCGGCCTCCTTAACTATGCGAGGCAATCTTTATGTAGCACTTTTGAAGTTTCTGCAGTATACGAAACCTGAAGAGCTGGAACTTCTTCAGCGCTCAGTGTTGGGTCATTCCATCTCCAATGGCCAAGCCGAGAACGATAACACGCTTTTGGTAGCTCGTCGTGAGCGCTTGCTTCAGGGCAACTATCTTATCATAGATGGCTATGGTCAGAAATTATTGGACACGATTTGTCCCGATGCGACCGGTGGCAACGGTGTTTGGAATATAGTTTCCTTTGCGGTCCTTGATGCAATATATGAACTTGCATCATGGAGCAAAAAGGAGCAGAGAACAAGAGGCAATGGGATCCTTGATATTCTGGTCCAGCGCAATTTCCTCGGTGACGTCGTCAGAACTATTAAACATGAGGATGATCGGGCATTGCAGGATCTCCTGAGAAATGAGCCAGGTAAACTTGACCGTCATGTGACGAGCCCTTGCCGCTTTGTAGAACTAAACCCAGGCTTCTGTCTCAGATGCAATGAATTCGCAGCTCATTTTTGAAGTGAAAATGGCATTCCTGCTCCGATTGTCTTTGACATCGGACGGAGCCAGAAAATTGCTAGAATATGGAGTCTTTGAAGCGCTTTCAGATTGTAGATTTGTGGACCTTCGGCCCGACGTGGAAGCTCGCATAACTGGTAACGTTACTGTACTAGATTGCACTAGGGGGCACTCGAGGCTAATGCAATAGGCACGCTATTCCAGACTATGATGACATAGTACCGCCTGCACATGAGCGTTACCATCAAGTTCTGCTGCCAACTTTAGAGCTTATTTTATCTGTAGCGCAACATACTCACGACGACTACAGCGCGCCCGCCAGGGTATGAGCATAATCACGTCCACGCCAAACCGTGCCTAAACTAAGGATTTCTTTAGGTTGCCGGCTTTGTGGTTGCCCATCAGCATGTTTTGGCAAAGATATTGAAAGATAGCTCTCAGTATATCACATTGGCATCCTTAAAGGAGCTAGAACTGACGACGGGTCTGTTGTCATACTTGGCCCCCCGGCAGGAGCTTATGGAAAAAGAGGTTGGAACTATGCGTCATATTTAGCGTCATGCATCGCGGGACTTATAGACGATTTCGCTCTCAGTTACCTGTAGCTGGACACTCTAGCTTCCACGCCCTCCTCCTAGCCCTATTGAACAAGTATGCCTCACCAAGTCGATGGATTAGCCAGCTCAAGCCGATTAGTCGGGTTGAACAGGAGAAGCATCGTACCATGGTCGCATGTAAGACTCTTGTTTCATATAGCATGCGATAAGTCAATCCTTTACACTCCTCCCAGTCCTAGGAAGGCCTACGGATGTCAGTAATTTCCGGCAGGAAGCTGAGACCCTAGTAACCAGCATTTGCCGAAATCTATTGTCTTATTGTCGCACTGCAAGCGAGTGGAAAGAAGCTGAAGGTACAACGCGCCGATACCTCTCCCAGATTGAAGTATGCTAATAACTGAATCAGGAGGACTCGGCAAGTCAATTGTTCCGCGGCCACCTTTATTCACCCCGTCCTTTACCATGGAAAATGACCGGATTCCGAGCGCTGGGTTGGTAGCAGGTACGGAAGATTACCAAAGTGCAATGCGTAATTGTATGTTGAGACTGACCATATCATAGGTCAACCAAGACCTTCCATGTACACCATTTGCGCGTTCACCTCACGAGTGGTCCAAACCCTGATGCAGTCAATTGAGGACTACAAGCATTTAAGTCTTAAAATTGCTGAAACGCATCGACTGTCTGTCGATGAAGTCAACGAGGTATGTCAGTATGGTTTTAATGCATATGGACATCGTCCTTACATTACTGTGCGCTCGTAGATAACCCGTGATGTCACCGAGTTTGAGGAAGAGCTGTCAGCCGCGCAGAGGCGACAATGGGCTCTCCTTCAGCTTGATAAGACTTTAAAGAAGAAGGCTGACGATGTGTGGTCTTTCCTATGTACGTGAAAATATTTTGTGTCTTCTCTTGCGGGGATACTCATTTTTGTCCCATTGCGCAGATCTCCTTGAGCATCTTCTGCTATTACTATGGCGTCACCTTGTAACGTTTATCGCAGAATATCATGTCATGCCTCCGCGTTCCCGAATAGCCACCGAGAAGGAGAATTTGGGACCGCAAATCAACACTTGCCTCGCTCCAATAATAACGCGTGTTCAGGCTCTCGAACTGGTTAGTTGGAAGTGCAGCTCCAATGACTGTTTAAAGGATCTATCTGACGAGTTTTAATATCTACTGCACAGAATGAAGACATTGTTGGTAGCCTAGGCAATGTGGAGAGCCGAAAAACATTTTTGAGCATGCTCGTCCGACAATTGCGAGAGCTCCTCCAAAGCGTACAGCAAGACTAAACGACCAAAGAAGATCTTGGTCACCCTGGACAATTCATGCGGGCCTCAGAGTGCACGTAGATTCGCGCGTGTCCCCGTTTGTGGATTTAGTTAATTGTATATTCTGTACAAACTCCTACCTGTCTGCCCCCCGCAACCCCACCATCAGGTCATCCGGAAAGATGGACATGGATATCGGAGTATATATATATGTATAAAGGGAAACTTTTCCGCTAATAAAATTCTGGAATTGCACATTAAAAGAACATTCGTGCATCACCACGGAAGGAACGAGAGTCAAACACAAGGGAATCCCTTCTCGCTTGTAAGCTGATGGAATCGGGGACAGAAACGTGCTTTGTCTGTGGTAGGTAAATGGAGTGTCACGTGAAGCCTATGTCGTCATCAGTAACCGCTGCTGATTGGTCCACAAGGCTAGCCATGAGTTCGAAATTCGGTTGAGGTGTTGCAAGTGTTCTTGATTTCTTTTTAGATTTGCTCTTGTTCTTTGATCGAAACGTCAGAGTCGTTGCGCTGCAGGAACTGTTCCGTCATCGAATGCAGAATGAATCGGCAAGGATTCTTTCATCAGTGGGGGTCTTCCATTAGGATACCGCCATTGTTGCACGTGTAGGGGTCTGGAAGCCTCCTCCCTGAACAGTGCCAAAGGAAATTTCATGTGCAATACAACATTGCTGCTTGTTTGATTATACTGGTTATCAGTTTGGATGGGGGTGCGCTTATATAAAGGACAGCCACAAAGAAAGTTCACTCCCATCAAACATAGCAACCATGGGTACTCAATTGGCCGCGAGCGCACTCGAGTCTAGCCGTTTTACACGCCATCATGTCAAGGCAGTCGTCGTTGCCGGGGTGGGATTCCTGGCTGACCAATATGACCTTTTCATCATGTCAGTTTGTTTTTCATCAGTTGCTTACACGTTCAGACATTAATGATGATAGACTTTTTGACTCTGTACTAGTAACCTTATCGTGCCAATGTTGGGTTATGTATATTTCGCCTCCAACCACAATTCTATTCCAGACTCCCAAAAGTCTATATTAGTAGCTGCTGTAAACCTCGGTGCCATTATCGGACAGGTGAGCCTTACATGTATCACAATGCTGGTTCCTTTTACTGTCTTACCGGACCTTGTGTGCTTTATTTGGTAGTTTACATTCGGTCTCTTGGCGGACAAATTCGGAAGGAAGAAGATGTATGGAACGGTACGGTTGATTCCATCATTGTTCTCTCATCGTTTTTGTGACTTTTAATCATGATCTAACCCATAATTTAGGAACTTATGATCATCATAATGGGAACCGTTGCTGGATCACTCGCTGGGGGTGGCCCGTACCTCAGTGTTGTGTTCACCCTTGGTTTCTGGCGATTCATACAAGGAGTAGGCATCGGAGCTGATTATCCAATGTCTGGTAGGGCTATATTCTCGCTTTGAGCACGTAACTACAGTTCCTCTGACACTCAAGTCGTTTCTTTAGCCACCATTGCTGCGGAATTTGCCAATCTTCGCAATCGTGGGGTCATGATGGCCGCTGTGTTCTCTATGCAAGGGTTTGGGCTTCTTTTCGGGGTTTTGGTGGCCCTTATCGTTCTACCGTGCTTCAAATCAGCCATCAACGAAAATGTTCAGGCATTCGATCATGTCTGGCGTATCATTATGGTATATTTCTGTCTTCCGCTGCAGTAGGTAACTGTATTGCCGGTCGACTGGTGCTTAAACACTGTTCACAGGCTGCTGGATTGATCCCAGCCTTGCTGGCCCTCTATTACCGCCTCACTATTCCGGAATCTCCTCGATATACAAGCGACATCACCAGGGACGAGATTAAAGCATTGCGCGATGCGAAATTGTTCCTCAAAGAAGCCTCAGACGAAGGAAGTATAACAGTCACTGAGTGCAACCCAACGGCGCCCGTGCGCTTTGAGCACAACATAAGCTCGTTTCGTGCCTTCTTTGGACAGTGGAAAAATGCGAAATTATTGATGGGAACGGCTGGCACATGGGTAGGTTGCTGTTAGGATTCATAATGTACTCAGCAGTCACTGAAATGGTTTCCTTCAGTTTCTCATTGATATCGCTCTTTATGGGCTGGGTTTGAACAATAGTATAATCCTATCGGAGATCGGCTTCGCTAAGGGTGATACTCCGTATGACTCTATGCTAAAAATTATCTTGGGAAACCTGATCATTTCGCTGTTGGGAAACTGTAGGTGTAAACATCTAGAATGACTGCATTGGCTCTCGATGTAACGTTATGCTTTACATGTAGTTCCGGGGTACTTCGCTGCAGCTGCTGTCATAGATACGATGGGCCGCCGACTCCTGCAGCTCGTTGGTTTTGCCGCCTTGACTGTATTCTACGTAAGTCTTAATGCGTCGCTTATGCATCCATTAGAGCTGTACTCAAATATCTGGCGCTCATCTCGCAGGTGGTTATTGCCTCGGCCTATCACCAGATCCTGGACACATCGATCGCGTTGTTCGTTGTCATCTACACGTGCGCGCAGTTCTTTGTCAACTTTGGTCCCAATGTGACAACGTTCATTATTCCCGGGGAGGCGTTCCCAACCGAATGGCGAGCGACTGCGCATGGGATATCGGCGGCGTGCGGAAAGATTGGAGCGTTCATCGCATCGTATGCATTTACTCCTGTTGCAGCGTCGATCGGTGTCAATGGCACTATTGGTGTCCTTGCCGGGTGCATGTTCTTGGGTTTCGTGCTGACGTATTTCACAATTCCCGAAACAAAGGGACTGGCTCTTGATGGCGGCATTAACGGTAATAGTATGGAGACTATCGACGTTGTAACGGAGCGAAACGATTCATTGGACGGCATTCAAGGTAATAGTATGGAGACTATCGACGGTGTAACGCAGCAAAACAATTCAACGGACGGCATTCAAGGTAATGGTACGGAGACTATCGACGTTGTAAAGCAGCGAAACGATTCAATGCGCGAACGTTAAGCGTGTAATCTGTTTGGGGATCGGATGGGAAGGTACAATTATCGATAGTCTCATTTAGTGCTGCATCGGATTGATTCTACAGTGCAGAATTTCTCAGTTTGACACAATGACATTTTCATTCGATCTCAAGACTTGAATTAAACCTTCGACGGAGCCTTTCTCTGTCCATCCACTTGCTACCCAAAGTTATCGCCGGCCATGTTCTGTCGGGCACTGATCCTGAAATCTGACTTGTAGTGATGGCACTGCGGCCTAATCTTGTAGTTTCTCCGTAAAGTTCGACGTATGATTTGATTATATTCTTTGATGATTGGAAGGAATTATGTCCCCCCAGTCACTATCGCCAATTAAGACAATATCAACCTTCTATCTCTATGCTACATTCACTGTCTGAAAAGCTACTCTCAGGCACACTTTCAGTCTCGAATGCAGAGAGCCCCTTGCCATCAATCACAAACAGCGCTTCTACAAACTGAACAAGAACCAGTACAACGAGAATATGATAGACCAGGTGGTGCTTGAGAGGGAGTGAGCTGCTGAGGGACCATGACCAGATGGCTCCCGCGAGAGCAGGTCCGATAGTTCTATTGAACAAGCAGCGATTCAGCGCAACAGCAAACGGAAAAAAAAATGAACCTAAGGGAGAACAGACATCAGTACGAACCTGACACCTGCTGCCGCGCATTGACCAACTCCATTCACAGTTCCAAGATTTGCGGGGTCGGTGACAGAGTTATTGACCTACGAATAAACGTGAGTGAGAGTTCAAAATTGCAAAGTATTGGATACACTAGTAAGTTTACCAGAATGGTAACACTCGTAAATGATACGACATTAAAAAATATTCTCCACCCAAGACAGCTCATCAATGCACCCCATACCAGCCAATCGATTTGGCCATCCTCGGTACGCCCACGCTCGGACCCTCTCGCTTTGGCAATAGCATTAACAAAGGGTACCGCGACAAATGCTGGTATCAGTCCCAGGAGCGCTGCACGATAAAGATACAAGGCCCCGTATTTCCGCTCCAGGCGTGGATAGATAAATATTTGGATAAATAAAGTTAATATGCCCAGCATCGATAGGCTGACGCCAATATCTTTTGACTGAAACCCCAGTCCACCACGCCCGAGAGAAGTAGAGGCGTATAGAGGATACGTCTCGTCAAAGATGATTTGTTGAAATGCCCATGACGCAAAAGCATACAGCGAAAGAAGCGTGAGTCGAGTCAATGCCGGACGCCTTGCATTGCTTCGGTTGGCATGCGGCAATAGAGGACTATTCTCGTTGTCGCATACTTCGGGACCATTCTTGTTTCTTATGAGTGTTTCCTTGAGGTTGAAATACCCGATAGTAAATCCAATTGTGCTAACCGCGGCGCTAACAAGACAAGGCAATAGGAAAGGGTATTCCCGCCAAAAGGGTGTGTCGAACCAAGAGGGAAATGTCAGAGCTGGTTGACTAAGGAGTCCGCCGACCATTGGCCCACCTGCAAACCCACTGTTGAGCTGCCACGAAACCAAGGGTAATAATGACCAATCAACTTACAAATGGACCCAATGCCCATGGACAATCCAAGAAGAGAGAAGGCTCTGCCTCTGTTGCTGTTGTCAGTTACTTCACCTAACATGCTCTTGGCCACGCCAATATTGCCTTTAGAAACACAATCAGTATCTCCACTTTACTCGTGTCCATCGCATCCACCTACCATTCAGTAAGCCACCAATCGTCCTAGCTGCTATAGCCCATTATAACGACTTGCTCAATCCAAATAGAACAATCTGCGAAAACAAACTAGTTAATAACCCAAGTGTTTGTAGGACACATTACAGGGATCAAGTCAGTACCGCGCAAGCATTTCCAGCTAGTCCCAAGAGCAGCACCGGCCGCCGTCCTATTCGATCACTCAACGTCCCCCATGGCAGTGCCGATAAACATTGTGCTCCCGCAAATGCGGCGGTGATGAATCCCACATAGTAACCAAGGGACTCAGAATCTGGTGCAACTCCAAAGCTTTCTACCTACACAAGAAACCTAGCAATTAGAAGAACAATACAAATCGAAACGAATGAGCGAGTCACTTGTACGTGGACATACCATAAACACAATAAAGGGAAACAAAATGGTAAACTGAAATGGCTCACACAAGATTACGGTCATCAGAACTACCAACTGCTTCGTGGGCAGAGGAGTGCGAGCAGGCATGTTGATGTTATCAGAACAGCCGTTGGCATCATTCTTTTGGTTGTTGTGAAAGGTGTCGGCAATCCCTATTGGCATCAATCCATCGTTCTCATCTATAAGCTCAGGTTGTGAGAGGAGGGGTGTGCTCTCTTGAGGTGGCATGGTGGAGCGGATGGATATTTTGGCAAATGTTACAAGCGGGTTACTCTATGGTCCCCAAAGGCTCTTTAGATCTGACTGACTTGACGACGAGCAGCAACAACAACAAACACAATACCTTGCTAAAAGAAATCTAAAATCATCTTTTCTCCCCCACCCTGCAATGTGGAGTAGAGGGCGGTAAAGATCTTTGAAGAGTCTCCCAAGATCAGCGTGGCGCAGCTGATTACGAGGATCGCGACATTCTCCTTGCGATCAACGGCAACTCTCTTGTTTCCTGCCATCTTTCAGCTTTGGAGGGATGCACTTGATCGTTGTGCATTCGCTTCTTGCGTGGAAGAGCGCAATAAATTACAAGAATGATGCCGTGTTTATCATTTACAGATTGGCCATGGGTTTTCAGCAAACCCACCGTTGACAAACGACGGCTTTGGATAACCTCTGGAGAGGGCACCAGATGTTCCCCCTTTGATCTTATCGCATCTGGAAAACCATCTAAATTACAAACGAACCCAAAAAAAGATGAAGCCCGCGGAGATGCGCAAAGGGAGCATTAATAAGCTCCCAGCAAGCATGTATAAATATGGATACTCGCCTTTGGGGATTCCCTTCAAAAACACCCTTTCTCGCACCTAAACTGGGAGATTGAGATATGCATCGTCTGGCTACCTGCCTCGCTTTACTTATCGGCCTTGCTGCCGCGCACACCGAGACGACAAAGAAGCCCAACATTGTATTTTTACTGTGCGTATTGCAATCTCGCAAAATGGGCCAATGGTGGGTTCTGATATTCGTCCTAAACTAGTACCGATGATCAGGATCAGCGGATGGGAAGTCTCGAATACTTGCCTTTGATACGCAAGCATTTAATTGAAAAAGGTACACAACTAAGCTCCGAGGAACCTTTGATATTCTCGATTTCACCTCACACCAATGTCATTTGTCAGGAACAATCTTCCCCAATCATTATGTAACGACATGTCAGTAGGTCGTCGATATCAAATCTCATAGCAGACTCTCATCTTTCTTGCCAACAGCTATTTGCTGTCCCTCTCGTGTTTCGATCCTCCGGGGACAACTGGCTCATAACCATAATTTCACCGATGTCTTTGCACCACATGGAGGGTACGATAGATTTCTGGAAAAGGGTCTTAATGAAGAGTATCTGCCAAAATGGTTGCAGGCGGCAGGTTATGATACTTATTATATCGGAAAGGTGCATATCTATGCATCAACTCTCGTACATAAAGGCAAAATTGGTGATCAAGATTCATTCCATGACACTAGTTTCTGAATGGCTACGGACTCGACAACTACCAGCAAACCCCTGGGGGCTGGAACATCTTTGATGCGCTAATTAATCCTTGGATTTACGATTACTTCCACTCTGTCTTTTCTCGGAATGGTGCCGAACCCAGACACTATCCGGGATGGCATCAAGTCGATGTAATTGCTGAGAAGGGTAAGCGCTGTATTTGTTAATTATCTGAAAATGGAGTCTAATCCAAAATCATTCTGTAGCGCTTGATGTTTTGGAATCACATTTGAAATCCAAGGAGAAGCCGTTTTTCTTGTACCTCGCTCCCACGGCACCGCACACTACAGTGTACTTGAGTAGTCCAAGATCCGCTAAAAGCTTGTATTCCAAAGATAACTAATCTCTGCTCCTGCCCACTTCAGAGCGTTTCCGCCCGACGCTACCGACGAATCAGACATTATAATTACAGAAGCACTTCCAGCTGTTAGGCATCAGCACCTGTTTTCAACTGTGAAGGCTCCACGTGTGCCAAATTTCAATACCGCCAACGTGGAAGGGAAGCCCAGGTACATCAACCAACTACCGTTGCTTAACGATTCAACAATCGAGACTCTCGATCGGTGGTATCGACAACGACTGAGGACCTTGCAGTCCGTGGACGAATTGCTCGACTCTGTTGTCAAGACCTTAGAAGAAAATGGCGTCCTAGACAATACGTACATGTGAGTATAAGGATCAGTTTGTGTGCAATATTGCGTATTGTTGATGTTGATTTTACTAGCTTTTTGACTGCGGATAATGGATATCACATTGGTAAGTTCTTGAGCGGTTTGGAGAGCATTTGGCAAAATTGTTTAATACGATTGTGTCCCCAGGAACGCATCGCCTGAATGCAGGAAAGACAACACCTTATGAAGAGGATGTCAACGTACCCTTCATTGTCCGGTATGTGAAAGCAGTGGCAGTAGCGCTTGACGATAGCAACTGACACATTCATCTGGGCTATTAGGGGGCCCGGCGTCAAAAAAGGAGCGGTTAACGACAATGTCAACACGTCAGTACGCTAGCAAGTGCATTTGATTAACTAGCAGTTTCATCGCTGTAACAACCGGTCAAAAATAGGCACACAGATATTGCTACGACCCTTCTGCAGATAGCCGGCGCAAGCTTGCCACCAATCGAACTCGACGGCATTCCAATCCCAATTCACGAGTCCGATTCGATCGACGACGAGGCGGTTTACGAAAGTTTCAATGTGGAATTCTGGCGGCCAGTTGTGCCCGAAGTATGCAAGCTCGTATGAGCAGTACACCTCTCCTATCCGTTCCTAACCCCAATGCCTTCCTAGCTTTATAACATCCCGTACGCACTCGAAAACAATTACAGATCTGTACGTGTAGTTGCCCCCGATTACAGCTTTCTGTATACAGTCTGGTGCACTGGCCATAGGGAGCTCTACAACCACACCGCTGATCCCTACCAATTACACAATATCTACGAAACCGTCGATGGGCGAGTACTGCAGCGGTTGGATGCGTTGTTAGTTGCGCTGCATGAATGCAAGGGCAAAACATGTAGTAAGCCTTGGGAGGTGCGTGGAACTCTAGAACGAATACGGACTGTGAAGTTGCCTGTGACTCTTCAGCTGTGCTCATCCGGCTGTCTTTGCCCAGTATATCCACAAGGCCAAACACGCTAGAACGCTTCGTGATGCCCTATCTCCTTCGTTGGACCCCTTTTATGAAAAACATCAACACCGCCTGCGAATCAATGCGTGCCTAGACCATTACGAAAGGGAAAACGAAATTGTGGAATCAACGACTTCCGAGGTGCACGGTAGTAGTCGCCTCGTGTTGCAAGGACAAGGACATTCACAAGGTCAAGACGATTTCGTCGTGGCGCAAAACAATCTGAACGCCCGATGGGGGCGTGCGATAAAGGGAAAGCGGTATAAACATCCCAGAGTGAGGAAGATCTTTGAACCGCGGACGGATATTGAAGAGTATGGGTATGTTGTCTTACTCTTTCGGGGATTGCCAGGAGAAGTGCAACCCTCCTAATGCTGGATTGTTTGCTTAGGGTGCCGCTTACCGTTGAAGAAGTTAAATTGGGGCTCAAGCCTAATGCATATGATTACGATTAGGGATGGGTTCTTGTATTACTTATCGGTCAGGTTGTTTACTGTTCTATACATGTTCGCCTTTGCGCAGGCATTTGTTAATCCGCTGTCGATTTCGAGAGAACACACCAGGCAAAGCATATTCCAGTTTACATGCGAGTAAACATGCGACTATATTCTGGCAGAGCTGTTCCATAGAAATTCTGAGTTATTCACATATGTACTATCCTGCTCCAATACCTAACCTGACTGAAAATTCCTATCCTGTGTTTATCTACAAATGTACCGTTTCTACCTAAGATTTCATATTACTCAGAATATTATCCACTACCAGTTGAATGGCTTCTTCCACCGTTTGAGGCTTCTCAAGAGTTCCAACCCACAAAGTTGGTGATTTACCACCCTCTCCAGGAAAGAGCTGATCAAGAGTCCGCGCAATAAACTTTTGTGCCTTTTCCTCAATCAGAACAGAGGAAGATTGAAGAGCAGACATGCGGGCTTTAAGATATGTCAACACGACAGAGGTCATGTAGACCGTACTAAAGAGATTGTCGTCTATATTCCGTGGAATATCGGCTTTGAGACTTGCCAAGCCCTCGGATACTGCTTCAGCAGTAAGGCCAAGAATTTGGATAAGGCGATCGCTTTTTGGCCAGGATCCAGCAAACGACTGTTCGGCAGTGATCAAATGGAGTAAGGCATGAGGGTCTGATGATGGCTTTGGAGCACTTTGCAAAGACGGCGGTGCGCAAGGCAATGCTGGTGCCACAGCACCTCCAGGTGCACCAGATCCTCCAAACATGGGAGCCATCGCGGAGCTCAATTGCAAAGGTTCACTGTCCATAGCCACCTCATCTGCAACGTCCTCGTACTCCACATCGTCCTCCTCGGAATCCTCATCGTTCTCAGAGTCTGATCCACCTCGACAGCTCAGCGAGAAGCGAAGAAGGGACCCTATGTCGTCCGCCGGATCTTGGTAGCCACGTTCAACTGATCCAAATGTTACGTTGCTCGCGCCGTACCCTGACATGTAGGTTGCCTTGGGTACAGTAGAAAAACCGGCTCCAGATTTGCAAGAGCCGCCGCTACTTCGAATAGCGCTAAGCAAGTCTGCCTTGGAGGACTCAGTAAACGGTTTAGCTGCTCTGCATGATGCTGGTGGCGGTCGTGGTGGTGGTAAAGACGCAAGCGGTACCACACGTGGTTCAGCTGCTCCCCATGATGTTGCTGCTGCTGCTGCTGGTGGTGGTGGTGAAGGCGCATACGCTGCCAGACACGCCACCCGCTTCCGCATTCTGCCAGGACTCATTCGCCAATGCTGAGCGACTATATCTAATATCAAATCAACCAGGGTTAGTGTCACCGTTCAATAAACCACCAGCAATGCAAGGACATACCAGACACATCTATCTTGCGTTCGACCTTTGTTTCCTCATCGACAACTATCCAGCTCGTATGCTTGCTGGCAAGATGATAGTGGACACCTAGTCTGACAACTTCCTGCTTGATCATGCTATCGGGTACCGCGACAAAACCTTTCTTCTCCAAGAAAGGTCCAATCCAGCTCCTGCCTTCTTCTAGATCTTGAATCAGTTTACGGGCAGCAAGGGTATGTACCATGGGTGTGTCTCCTGAGGAAGAAAGCCTAACAACTGGCACCTCTAATTCCACTGGCCCGTCTGGAGTGCTGCCCGTAAGTAGTACTTTGGATGGAATCTGAATGGTTGGCGCCAAGATAGCGTAAGTCACGAAACGGAATCCAGGGAACAAGGGCGGAATTTGGAATGGAGCTGTCTGGACATCGCGCTTCAAATCGGGGATTGAAAGTGGAGGTGGAGATTTGGAGGCAATTGGGTTTGGGTTGAATAGATTGATGACTGTTGGCTGTGATTCCTTCTCAGAGCTGACGGTAGTAGCTTCCGTGCTTGGGTTGATAATTTCAAAATCGTCGTCAACACTTTTGGCTTCAACCCACGAGATGCGAAGGTTTGTAATCGGAGGAATCAGTGCTGCTTTCAGCATCTTTACAACTTTTTCCTAATGGCAAAAAGGTTATCAGAATGGCTGTCCATTTTATGAGCAAGACTTTTCGCAGACCTACCTCCATTCTTTCGTTTGACAGCACAAATTGGGCAAAACCTTGACCTGCTCTCGATAACCCCTCAACAAGGTGATGAGACACGGCATCGCCAACCCCGAGCGAAAAGACTCTCACGAACGGCTCTTTTCTCTCTTGGGCATCATTAACAGCAGATTCGATCTGTTTAATAACCTCAAGTACGTTTGTTACTTCTCCATCCGTGAGCACGAAAATCTGCGTTGGCATCTTCTTATTCCTATTCTTCAATACTGTCGATAATGCGCTAGCTATTTCCGTGCCACCCATGTCCGCTTGCATATCGCCAACAGCTCGTAGTGCAAGCCCGAGATTCTCTTCAGTGTACTCGTACGACGTTGGGAAAAGCGATGTATGAGTAGATCCAAACGAAACAATGTTGAAGAAATGGCCATGAGGGATCGAGCGGAGAAACAACTGAAGAGCTGTTTTGGCCTGCTCAATTTGACGGCCTTGCATGGAGCCTGATCTATCAATGATAAACACAAGTTCGCTCGTGCGGATTTCGGTAAGTGCGAAGCGGGGGCTCAGGGTTAACGCCAGCGCGTTAGTGCCTTCCGTAGGATGCGGTTCGGCAACGCAATGTGGTTCATCTACACCCTTGGCCTTGACAAGAAACACAAAGTCCCCATTGAGAAAGGTGTCCGAAATGAATCCTGCACCTGCTTTACAAGGATCTCGAGGCTGAGACTCATCGTCTCCTCCCAGCGAGATCTCCATTGAATGTGATGGAGACTTTACGGAGAGAATTGGATATGTCATCTCACAACGCACGGATATGTTTAGCAACGTCCCCGCGGGTTGCGATCCTGCCTCTGCGGGATGTGGTATGGATCCAGAATTGTAACGAGGTGCAATTGTTGTTGGAAGGACCAAACGAAGCTGATCTGCTTGAGCATCCCCCTTGAGCTCTGAGATGTATCTCAAATGGATGGTTACGACCTTTCCAGCAGGTATGTTACCAATTGAAGTTTGGAATACTGGAGAAAGTACTTTATTAGCTCACATTCAGTTAAACAGATACAAGGTCAATTTTCCTCGTTTACTCACCATCAGCGCTATGGCTCTCTAGTAACGATGCTAATTTGCCTTCATCAACTGCCTTCTGAAAGTCCTTTTTAGCCTCTGTCAATAATACTATGCGTTAGCTTCTCCGAAAGAGCAAAATAATACAAAGATTTCTCACCTTCTTTTTCCTTGACCTCTCCTCGAGCCTTTCGTCCATCTATTTCAACTTCAAAATCACATACAGCGGCACCTTCGTAAAGTGGAAAGATATATACGGCATCTACTGCCGCCTCATTGAAGCTATTTTGATAACTTTGCTCGACCAAGACCGATGCGACAGAGTCACGCACAGTGGCAACAGCATTAACGTAAGTTAACTTTGCGGTTTGCGGTTGAGGTTGCGGGTCGACACCGCCAGATATCTGTAGATACAGTCCGCATCTACCAGCATAAGGCTTTAGGAATGACGACAACATTTTCGATTGGCAATTGCTTTGATTGAGATGCGATGAAATTCAATTGTAGGGAGGAGATGCCAGGAACGCATTGCTTTTATAGATCTCAGCGGGCTGTGGGGAAGTTGCGTGTGTCGCGTAACTCAGCGTTGGTTACGTGATCGCCAAGACCTCCAGCAGCGCCTCGCCACGTAACGAAAAACACTTCTAGACGGCAAAGCCACTCCTGCAAGTATCACTGGAAAGTCATTCCATGGCGTACGTGTGCAGTTTACTGGCGACTTTCTTTTCTCGCCGCACATTTTGTTTGGCCTTTCAAATTCTTTCCAGTTCATCCAGAAGAGTTGGCAAGTCATATGTAACAGAGGGCATCAGATATACTGTGTACTTGATATCAACCGCCTCCTTGGCTCAGTTGGTTAGAGCGTCTGCCTAGTAAGCAGAAGGTCCCGCGTTCGAATCGCGGAGGAGGCATCACTGTTGTGGACCCCTTTTTTTGCTGATACTTTGTTTGAAAGTTTCTGCCAAGGAAAGTTCCACATGAGCTTTTTTATCATGAAAATCAGAAGGTTCGCCTATATGTGTAGGTTTCATTGTTGGTGTCAATTGCTGGGTGCAAACATGTGGTTTGTGCATGATCAAATCCTTTACGAAAATGGGCTATGGCATTTATGATTCTAGATGTATCTGCTGATCCCCGAGAATCAACAAGAAAAACAAAACTTCCTTTGTTTCCATTTGTTGAAACACAAAGCAAGCGGTCTTGCGGTGAGGGCAAACCCTTCAACTGTCCACGACCACTTGAAAAGGGCACGACGACAGGTCGCTTGAATCCCCCAAACAACACATTCTATTTTCAGTTGATGCAAATGAAATTCCTACCAAAAATAGTATCAATCTAACGCACAGTTCGCCCCCCCGTCACCCGCCGCCGTGGTCATTTCCGCTAGCCGCGTGTGTGTTTGTTTGTTTGTCGTTTGCATGACCGCTCCTTCGTTTCGACCTCTTGACGGCGAGTTGATAAAACTGCGCGAAGAGCGTTCAAGCCCCTCATCCGTTCATTCCATAATTTCCGTGTCTTTTTTTTCAAGTGACCTCTTAGGAAAAACAAGCCCATCAGAACCTCATCTTCTTTTCCTTTGCTTGACAAAGGCTACTTTTCGACCATGTCGTCAAGCCATGGGTTCAACCTGACAAGTCTCCTCAAGATTACCTCAAATTATACAGTATCGCATGGATTAGATGGATATTGGGGCCCAGTGACCTCCACGCTAGACTGGTGCGAAGAGAACTATATCGTCTCCCCATACCTTGCCGAATACTGGAACTCGACTACCAACCTCGTCTTCCTTGTCTGGCCTTTGATTGGGCTGTATTCCTGCTGGAAGACGGGAGCGGAAAAGAGATTTTGGGCAAGTTTTGCTGCTTTGATGTGCGTGGGGACAGGAAGTTTCCTCTTCCATGGAACCCTGCGATACGCTATGCAGCTTTTGGATGAGCTTCCCATGGCGATGGGCACTTGTGTCTTTGTCTACTGCCAGTAAGTGTCCATAAAATGCAAAATGTACATGGTATTTGTCCCTTCCCGGACTGACCATATTTCTATTTCCCTTAGCCTTCAAATGTTTTCCAAGAAGCTCTCGCCCTCCATCATCCTTGGTCTCTTCCTTACCTTCCTTCTGACCTGTACAGCTTATCTCGTCATCCAAACGCCGATTCTATTCCAAGCGGCCTTTGCCACCCTAACGCTCCTCCAACTCTTCATCGGCCTTTACAACCTTTACAAAATTTCCAAAGTCAACCCGAAAGCTGGTCGGACCCTGGGCAGAATGACGGCAGTCTGCGTCGCTTCCATGTTGACAGCCTTTGTCCTTTGGAACACTGATCAATTGCACTGTGGTACCATTCAGGAACACCGCAATCGGTTGGGTTATCCTTTCCGAGTCGGGTTGGAACTACACGCTTGGTGGCACTTGTTGACAGGGTACAGTGGGTATACTAGTGTAGTAGCCAGTCAATACGGCAGAGCTCTTGCCCTTGGACGGGAGGATGTTAGTTTGACATGGGTATGTGGAATATTGCCAGTTTGTGTAAGTAGAACCGACAAGATAAAGCATGCGTAGACATCCAATGTAGATATGCATAGTCTGTAACTATAGTAGTACTAAATGAGCTATAATAATACGCTATATCATATGGAGACTTCTTTACTTTGTCATTGAGCGCTGCTTGATATGCAAAAGGTATCCTTATTTACATCAAACACCAGCTCTGGTTGCTTGTTTTGACCACGTTTTTTTCCATTACCACATCATTAGATAATCACGCTTACACACCACGCGTCTCGTCTGCTCCCCCAAAAGTCCGATCGCGACCCAGTCCGACATTCTTTCACGGAGCGCAGCGGTGATAGCGATTAGAGGGTGTGGCTTCTTTGTTAGCTCATTGTATTTTATATATTAAGGCAAGAAAGGAACATCCTCGGCGCCAGACAGAGTCCACGTATACAACGATTTATCCTTCGGTTTTTGCCTAACCTTTGTGGAGCTTGGGCATGATGTATTTCCAGCCAGCACCCGCACCTGCTGCGGAGCCTTTCGACGCTCCACTGACTCGCCCAACGGAAATTCCATTCAAGCCTGACGTCCCTTTTCCTCCGTCTCTGTGCCCTCCCGCTCACTTACCTACCACCTCACACCAACCCGCACAACACTATGCGTCCTTGACCTGGGGCAAAGAAATGTCTTCATCGGGTTACCCAACCCACGCAGCTAACCAAACGGTTCCTGTTCCCGTTCAATTACATGTCCCCTATCCTCAGCCATTTATCACTGCGCCCGCCGCGGACGTTGTTGGACCCTCGGCCGCTGTGAGTCCCATGCCAGTGTCAGCACCCGTCGCTCAGGGATGGACTGCCGAGTCGTCCACCGGATACACTAGCACCAAAAAAGCTCGTCGTTCATCCCGACCACAATTGAGTAGCGTCCACTGGCAAGGGCCTCCTGCACCTGCTACCTGCATGCAGCAGCAGACCCAATCCATTTCCAACCATCAGCACAATATTGATTTCTCCCGACGCTATTCTATGGGCAGCACTGCACCCACGTCTCCCCCACCCATGTCGCAGGGCGCACCAGTCCCATTCCGGAAGGACTCTCTCCAGCCTCAACACCCACCGTCCTACTCAGCACAACCACAGCAACCGCCCATGCAACGCCGCTACACTTATCACTTGGGGGATGACGATGTCCCTTTACGACCTGTAAGATCGTATTTTCGCTGAAAAATAGCTATACCTGTCTAAATTGCCCAATTTTCAGCAAGGAATAGCTGGATGGGCTTCATCCATCATGAACCGAGTCGATTCGGTCGGAAACAAGATTGTGGATGCATTGGGATTTGGGGCACCGATGAGTACCGCTCCTTGGGACATGCGACACAAGGTATGTCATTCGTCACTCTTCCGTATGGATTAGCAAGGAATTTGAACCCTAGGTTAAATTAATTGCAGTATGATCAGGCACCACTAACCCACGTCGGGGTTGCGCGACCGTCTGGTGAGAAGGGTGCAAGTCCAGTCAAGCATGCAGCTTTGCATCAGTCCTACGATCCATCTGCTCTCGTTTAACTCGGTGGAGAGTGTGAAACAAACAGATGTAATCTGGCAAAACACTTTGATCCGGAAGCGCGAAAACTGTGTACATCATTACGGTCGACCTCATGATAAGAATCAGAAGTAGGGACTAGGCTGAATAGACATTCCTAAACTCCATTGTTTTGGTGCAAAAGGAAAACATCATGCTGGATTTACAAATAAAATGCATACGATCTACAAGTACCATAGCCCCGTTCCCGCAAGTTCTTTTGCATCTACCCTACTACTTCTTCTCCAGCGACCGCCTGCTCATTCCCACCTTCGCCAGTATCTTCCAAATTGTGAAGCTTCCTCCCTACTAAAAATTCTTCTTCTTTAACTTGCTCCATCCATCTCTTTACAAAACCCACAAGTACCCAAAGAATGCCTCCAAGGAGTGACGAGAGCAGTGCACCGGGGAAAACCCACCGTAACGCATCGGTTGATACGGTGCCGTCCTTTACCATCATCTGCATCAGAATCCCTAGGGCCCAAGGGCCAGCTGCCAGTCCAATGCATATAGCAACTAACGGGAACAAGACCTTTTGCCAGATGGGACCAACACGTAAACGGCGTACGCCACCCCGAACTAACTCTGTCAGCACCCGCTTAACTTCCGTGTCTGGTCCCACCATCACTAGCGCCCACGCTATCTTCATGTATACAGCTCCCAGAGCCCAGTCCTGAAGCACTGCCTGAACCAATGCTCTTGTCGGAGGACCACCGGCGGTCCGTGGAGCGGTATGGCCATCAACCACAGACGCGCGCCCAGTACCCAATGGCCGGAAGGGCTGTATTAGGTACAGATCAAATACCAAGCCC